ATCCCTTTCAACTTTATTTGAGACTCTTACTTTTTTCTTCTTAGTAAGTCGTCTTTTACAGATTGGCATTGCCGGTCCAAATATGGACGTAGTAGGAGCCCTTCGAGTCGCTCGCCTCACTTTGGAAGCAACAGTCGGCACGATGCACGTTAATGCGAAAATAGTTGCTGATCGTTTGTCGTTACATGGCCAAAGTATTGTCGTCGCTACCGAAGCACTAATCAGTACGGACAAATTTAGTGTGAGCGACTTTTCATATTTTTCCAAATTAGGTGTTTTGCCATTGCAGAGTTGAGTTTGTTATGAGCGCTAAACCTTGAGCGCGATACTGAGTGGGAAGTGGTGTAGTGGCAAATGGCACGCTCACTACTCACACGGTCATGGGTTCAAATCCCAAGGTCGACTCCCGCCTAGGCCAACAAAGGCTTCTACACTCCGGATTCGTGTGCGAGGATAAGAACACTGGCTTCACTGATAAGAATATAAGATAAGAACACTGGGAACAACATAGGCCGGCCCCCTCATTCTTCAGGCCACATCGCATTCGATAAGCCACTTGAACGAGTAGAATGCGTGTTGCATCCCAGAGAGATATTTAATAGGGGCAAAAACTTTGCCCTTTATCCTTTTTATTGAGTGCTTGTCGCATGTTGCATAACGGCATCTTTTGCAACTCAATTTGGCCCCTATTCTTAAGAGATTTTGCAAGAGCAAGGTAGTGCCCACAGCTCTTGATTACTATGAGCACGGCCTCAAGAATTGTCTCCGAGCAAATGCTACACGCCCTTGTGAACCCTCCCCCCCCAGGAAAGTTTGATTGCTCCGAAGCGCTGGCAGAGGATCTACATGTCGACCATTTCCCACAATCCCGAAAGACACGGTGATATCACAGTGACTGACTATCATGCCTAACTCCTAAACGGTTATGACTTGTTGCTTTATTCTGTATTTGTTTTTCTATTTCTGATGTTGTTTACCGCAGCATTTTACGTATTTGCAGGTAATTGGGCGGAAATTGCAATTAGATGGGCGATGCTTCCCAAATGAGAACTCGGAGAACCGGGAGATGAGGGTCCGACTGGACTGCGGCCTTGTACACGTCGGTGTCGATGGCTGTATCGGCGAATCGAATGAGAAAGAAACTATTAAAGTTCCCAAGGTGAGGAATCCCATCGTCACAAAAACATTGCACGTGCTTTAAGTCCCTCTCACACTGATCTCTGAAGTAATGAGCATTTTCTATTACTTACTCTCTTGATTTTTTTTAGTCTAGACAGAACGGGAACAGATAGACTTCGATTACACCCCTGATCTCTACCATCTTTTCATTTTCCCTCACTTTTCAACTGATGTTCCAATCGACATGCCAGAAAAGAATGTTCTTATTTAGCGTACGCAATCCGTCCAAATCACGAGCAACTATCTGACGCTGACCATTAGCGGTTCTTTGGCAAATTACGGTAAGATCACGGCATCGGAGAGAATCGATCTAGCCATCGGCGAGAGCTTGCTGTCACTGTTGGACGGAACGTTGGACAGCGCTGGACGAGGTTTGTACCTGAGCTTCTCTCAGAATTTCCTTTACCGCCAGCATACTGGTCTGTATGTTCTAGTTCATACGGTAGTCCTCATCTGGCTCTCGGTTCTTACCTGGTTCTTAATTTATCTCATCGAGCCCACTCTTGTGGATTACCCCTTTTTCGTGAACGACCCTGTACGCCTTGGGATTGCCATTTGCCTTCAGGTCTCGCAAAGGCTTGACAACGTGGAACGTGGAGTTCGCGTTGCTCTGTGTCGCACTGCATTCTGTGTAGATAGCAAGAAATTGGGGATGAGAAAGAAGGAGGGTAGAAGCGACAAACCAGCCAGGGCACGCCATCTTTGTGATCATCACAACAGGGGGGTCGTATTTGCCCGCGATGGAGGGGGGGGGTCGTAAACGCATGGCCCATGTTGAAGTGGAGAGAGCGGTGATACACGGTACAAGTAAAAAGAAGCTCAAAAGGGACGATGTAGATGACAATAAATAGAACTAGGCACTATCGAACTATTCCTAGGCCAAAAACTAAAAAAAATATTGCTGAAACTTTTTCCTCCTTCCTCACAAAAAAGACACTTCGCCCACCAACCCTCCTCATCTGGTCTAGGTAAATCCCAATCCACTAATCCGCAAAATCTAGAAAAGAATCATTGCAAAAGCTACCTATGAAACCGTAGAAATTGAATCCTGAGCAATTTCCTCACAACAAAACCAAACTCAACAAAACAAAATCAAACTTAACAAAAACAAACAATAATAATTTACAATCAAATGGATAAGAAAAAACTCACCGCTCAGCTGGGGGAACCGGAACTATGGATTACTTTTGAATTTTGGCTGTTCGCGGTCAGCGCGCTCATACAAGCGCATTGGTGCGCGCTATTTTACGGTTGGAGCCAATTTCAAGCCAAACACGTGAAAAGTACCCCTCATTTGAACACCCATAACTTCGTTGAAAGTGAAGCTATCGGAGAGGGGTAAGTGGGAATGAGTAGAGCTAGGTTGGCTCTTATCACCTGAATTGAGCGATTTCAAAAACGTTCCGGTTCCAGAGATTTTCCCCGTTGTGATCATCTTTGTGATCCATCTGTGATCATTTTTGCGAACCGCGAGTCGCTACGCTTTGGACGTCCATGGCAAGCTTCATACACGACCTTTCGTAAAAAAAAGAACTGTGCCGGAAGCTTGAAGATTTCTACTTTCCAGCAAGGTTTTAATTTCCTTCCTAGACCTACTATTCGAAAAAATTCCCCGTTGTGATCATTTTGTAATCACCCCCACGACACCGAAAAATCAACCCTCCGAGGCCAGGAAACCTCCAGTTGGCTCGAAGACTTTGGTATGCTTCTAAAACACATGTTTTCGCAAGTATCAGGAAATAGGCCATTGGGCGCCAATTGGCATCACCTCTGCAATGCGCCATGCATGGGGCTTTCACGCAGGTGTTTGGAAGGTGTAACTTCTAGATAGGGCTTCCCAATTGCAAGCAAATGTGCTCCTACGATCAGAAAAGTCCGGGAATGTACTTTCATCTGTTTTAATCGTCACGTCGTGAGTCCTCTT